AATATACTTAAAGCTTAAGAAGGGGGCAGTTCAGTATCAGCAGCAGCCGCCTGGTCAGCACTCTTCTTGCTGGACTCGGCCTTAGCTGCATCATCTTTTGATGCCTTACCCCAAGTGGCACAAGCGCCACAACCGGCTCTTCCTCCTCCAACGCAACGTCCATCGCCTCTTCTTCAGCAGCCGCCAGGATCTGTTGATTATATATTTCCGAACACTGGCGGTACGTTCTTTCCCATGAGGCAAAGTCGGCACTGGGGAACAGTCGTTCCCAGGTCATGCGTTGGATTTGGGCGGAGTCTTCCACCATCTCCCGGACGAGCTCTTGTTTCTCTTGCTCGGCCTTGTCCGAGAGCTCTTGGGTAAGACTCTTCTCCTGGTTCACCAGGCGTTCTTTTTACGTTAGCCAAAGATTTCTCCATGGCTTCGTAAGAGTGCATTTTCTGACGAAGGGGCTTCAGCTCGGCTTTAAGTTTGGTGACGGTCCCCTCCAGCTCGTCAACCTTCTTTTGGGCCGCCTCTAGCTGAGCCCGAACAGCGGCGGTCGCCTGCGCCTGATAATAAAGAAGATCAATGGTCAGTACTTCATTTTGGGCAATTTGAAACATTGCTTTATCACAGCTGGAGGCGGCCATAGCCTTTGCGGCCTTTACCTCTTTGTTTTTCCGATCAATCGGCTTACGAAGGCTGTTGACTCGGAGCAGGGCCTAAGTACAAAGAAAAACAGGCGTCAGTTTCCAATCATAAGGGTTAACAGGCGTCCTGGAACTTCAAAAGGGTATACCTCAGCTAGGATCCCCGAAATTCCATCGAGGTCAAGGGTGCCGGCACCCTTGACCGCCTCCCTGTCAGAGGGAGGAACTACTTTAACCATTGACTTGGCTACCTCAACCAAGTCAAGTCCCTGGGGGCCGGCTGCATTAAGCAGAAGGAAAAACAAGTTAGACCTAATCAAGAAGGAAGCAAGAGTGAGTTTTTACAAGCAAGTGTCCATACATCTAGGCGGCCCCGCCTGGGTTTTTGAAGAAGTGGCCGGCTGCTTCTCAGCCGCCACTGTTTTCCTGGAAGACCCAGGAGAGCTTGCAACAGTCGTTCTCCGGGCCTTGGGGTCCGGCTGTTGCGAGGAAGAAGCCCTTGGAGTGCCAGACTGAAAACAAAAAGGGTTAGTATATGCATAATACAACTTAAAGGGGAAGAGTTTTCAAAGCTTACCAAGGGTGCCTCCTTGCTGGGGGAGTCGGCGTACGACTGCTTCATTAGCGAAACCCGCAGCATGGCCGCCGCAGTCTTAGATGCTGTTATTTTACTCATGGCGTCGGCTGAAAGAAATAAACAGCAAAGTTAGTAAAAATCCCAAGTAAACAAGGCGTGAGAAAACAGAGTATTCGTCAGGCCGGCTACCTCTAGAGCACCGACTGCCGAGGCCACAGGCGGCCAAGAAGTACTCATCATAGAGCCACTTGAAGCTCGGGACGCAGTGTAGGGGTACTTGCTCTCGTACCCCTGAAGTAGAGTTCACCCTAGTCTCTACTTTGAAGAGTCCTTTGTCTAGGATCTCTCTTTTAGCCTTTGGGGGAACAGGCGGCATGCTGCGGCCGCCTGCAAGAAGAGGCGGATCCCTGTTCCACTTGTTAAAACGTTTGTTCAGCTCCGTGTCTGAACTCTCGATAATAAGGAAGGTGTTCCGCCAATCCTTCCATTTGTTTGCCTTACCTCTCGTCATGAGGTAACCCCTATGGCTTGTTAGTTGATACCAGCCGGTACCTCCCGACTTAGGGGTCCGGCTGAGATAGTTCATCTGGGCGAAAGCCTCAAAACTTGGCTCCACCCCGTTCAGTTCGCACCCGGCCACATAGCCGAGTACGTTTACCCAAGAGTTGGGGGCTAACTGCCATAACCCCAGATCATACCCATCTAAAATCCGCTGAACAGCCGGATGTAATGGGAAGCGCAGACCAGCTTTGATGGCCGCCACATAGCAGCCAAAACAGCCGTCACCATAGCTGGTACCAGCCGGCCAGACGACAGTATCTTCTGGATCCGGCACAAACAGTAAATACTCCGGGCTCATTTTGTGGTTAGCAATAAAGCTCGCCACGTTGTCTCGCATGGTTGCGATCCGGCCCCGGGGCACCCTGCAGTAGTAGGGGGTGTTTTCCTCTCTGTAAGAGGCGGACGGCTCTGCCCAATTATCCCCCTTCTCCACGGCATGGGAACTTCTCGCCTCTTGTAGGCGGTTATGTTTTTCTTCTGAGTCAGAAGAACTATGGTCAGAAGAGCTGGAATCGGACTCGTCCCCTGACGAGTCCGAAGAGGACGACTCCTCCCCTCTCCTAGAGGGGCCCGCCTCCTCTCCCTTAGAAGGAGCAGAAGGTAAATTAGACATGTCCACGGTTAGATGAGAAGGGAACACCTTGGTCCCTCTCTCAGAACTGTCAGCTTGACAGTCGCCTCGTTCCACATCTGGCGCCTGGTCAGATGTTTCGCTAAGGAGTACCCTTTGGGAGGAGCCGTCTGAGTTTGATATTCTAGCAGTCTTTTTTGTTCTGGCCATCACGTTCTGCATAGACACAGATTCAGTCGGACTTTGTATAAAGGGCAAAGATGGGTCCAGAAAAGGGCAGGCGGCACTCCTAGTCCTAGATTCAGCCGTCCCCGGTGACCGGCTGATCACTAACTTAGGGCGTGTCGTGTGCTTCCATGGTGCCATTTCAAAAAATAAAAAGAAAATTAAGAGTAAGAGAACTGAGTTACCTGAACGGATGACAGTTGATGAAGTCCTGAAAGTTCGGGTCAGTCGGCTTGTCAGAACAGGCGGTAGGCAGAAAATGTCCGAAAATGTCAGAGCAAGTTCAGGGGTCCGAATGTTCTCGCAAAAATTCTCAAATGTGAAAATGACCGAAGTCAGCACTTCCTTTTATAGGCAAAATGAGAAGGCGAAGGGTCGCTTCCGAATTCAAATTTGGGCGGGAGGATCTCCGGCCGTCTGCAAGGTGACACCTGTAACGGGCCGTCGCCTGTCACCGTGCGACACCTGTCACAGGCGACACGTGACCAGTCGCGTGCCACCTGTGAGGGGCAAATGATTAGGGGATTTTTATCCACCAAGCGCCGTTTGACAAGTGGACCAACCAGGTTCCGCCACGCGTCCTCCACGGACCACTTAAGACACGCCACGTGTCCACCCATGCCAAATGGGACAACGGCCATCAAGGCCCATTTCAGTCTAGAAGCCCGATCGGCCCTAGGTTTACCTTAAACCTAGAGAGTTGCACGCTTCCCAAGGCTATAAATACTCGATTAATCCTCATTAATCAAGGGACCGAATAATTTACGGAACACACTAATAACCGGCTGATCTCGCTAGCAAAGCAGATTACCTACATTAAATACTCTCACCTAGAGAGACCTTATTACTTTAATTTCTGTATTAATTACTCCTTAATCAGGTACTAACTTGACCGTTGGAGGCGGAGCTCTCAGGAGTCTCCGTTATTTTGCAGGTACAGGCGTCCGGTTCCAGTCTCGGAATTGTAACTCTCCCGCAGGACATCAGAAAACCCCGAAACAGTATACATCCTCTCAAAAATATAATTTTGATTTTTTTTTTCAATTGTAAATAGACAATATATATACTATACAAAAAACACAAACATGCATGTGGATATTATTTATCTACACTTTCTCATGGTGTGAATTTTTTTCAGGTCTAATTCGTTGATTAAAAAAAAATATTGGAAATAATGTAAGTATATGATGGTAAACTAGATAAATTGATTGTTATTCATTATTTTATAAGATGTATGTTTTGTTTTATTTTACCTAATCTAATTATGTTACTTATCGTATTAAATTTTGTTAAACAACTTAATTGTAACTTAATATTAATTATTCTGTATTTGAAGGGATTATGTCCATGCTCCAATTGAAAGAAATTATTGGAAAAGTAAGGGTCTGTTCTCTTCAGCTTATTTTCAATTCAGTTCAGTTTAGTTCCTAATTTTCTTCTCTCATAAAATATTCAGTTTAGTTCAGCTTCAATCAATTCAGTTCAGTAAATCAGAACAGGCCCTAAGTCAACTATAATGTTACAATAGTAGGGAAAAAAAATTAAAGATTGTAAGAGATGTCTCTTATAATTTTGATTTTTTGTGTATTATAGTTTCTAGTAGAATATCTATATTATTATTGTAAAAATCATTGTACTGGTGTATACATATAACTCTATTATTAAGACATATGATAATGAAATTTCATTATAAAGATTTAATTTTATTTAATTAGATTCATTTTAGTAATGCAACACTCTTGGTAGTATATATATATATATATATATATATATATATATATATATATATATATATATATATATATATATATTTCACTTAACTATTTAAAAACTTATAAAGTCATATCTTTTACTATTACTTTCACCGTCTTTATTTTAACCCTATAGTTTTGGGTTTACTTTATTAATTTTTCATTGTATAAAGTTGATACGGAGTAAAAGAATAATGGTGGTCTAAGTTATTATTTGTGAAAAAAAATAGTGATTCTATAACTATATATGTATAGTGGAACAACGTGTTTTTGTTATACAAACGAATCATAGGTTAAAAAATACGAACAGGATTATGATTTTATTCTAATATCTATTATACTTATAATTTTTATATAACTAATATTAGTAAATTAAGGTCGCATTATAAGTTGCATAAAAATAAAACAAATTATCTGTTTTCTAACAAGCTAAATAATAAAAAAATATAGGGTTAAATTAAGAAAATAATCTTTTCATGAGATTTATATATAAAAACCGTACATCATACGGGCTTCCATCTAGTTATGAATAATTTGGATAAACCCGTACATAACATAAATACGAACTAGGATATACTTCGTATATAAGAAGGTTATTTTTTTAAATTTTAAATAACCTTTTACGAGTAAATTTGAATTTCGACCATCGATATCGATTTATATCTGATGGTTAACATTATATACGTGTCACTAATCCTCCTATGTTTTCATTTTTTTCCCCTTTGAGCTTTTCACTTCTACGCTTCACCCTCTCTCTCTATCTCTCTCCTCCATTGAAGCGTACTCTGACTTCTCCATTGAAGCGTACTCTGAGTTCTCCTCCATTGAAGAAGTTTCTGAGGTAAATGTTTTTTTTTTTTTTTTTTTTCTTTTTTCAATTATCGAATATAAATTTCACCATCTAGGGTTTAATTGCACTCTCGTTCATTTTATTGTCAGTTTAGTAAATTTAGGGTTCTTCTTAGGTGGATTACTTAACTATTGGCTATATTTACTGAAAGTATGAAAATTTATAACGAGCGATTTTGTTGCTGTAATTTTGTTATGTGTAATTTACGTTGTTGATTGAAAGATACGATTTTTATGTGATTTTAGAGCCTAATTTGATAATTGAGTAAGTTTGGTTGCTGATGAGTTGCAATTTTCGATTCTAATCGAGCCCACGAGCCTGAGCCATGCTTGGATTTTGAGGCTCGTTGGGTTCACGCTGAGCTCGAAAAGGGTAGGCTTGGCTCGAAAATTTAGCACCTTGACACTTGAAACCCTCGGTCCTGTTTTGAAATAGTTGTTACATTGGTGACTTTGCCATCTCATGGTTAGGGATATCGGATATGACATCAAACTAATTTTGTTCAGCACAAATACCTTCATTTTGTACTCCAGTACCCCCTGAAACAATGCCGAATTTGCCCATTGGATACAAAAACAACCCTGTGATGAATAAAAGCGCGCCACTATGAATTGGTTTAAATAGAGACATTTGGGAAAGGAGAAGAATAAACCATACTAGAAACTAAAAATGCTTGACCTTTTTCTAACATTCTAAAAATAAATTATGTGACTAAATTTTTCTGGTAGAGAGAAGTATGTTTTAAGATAATTTTAGCTATGCTGTTTTGACCTCAAAATGTTGTATATTTTTTCTTGAATTTATGGGGAAAGTGAGCATTGACTGCTAAAGTCACATGTGTGGCCTGATTGTCCTATTTTTACGAACAGGGCTTGATGCTGGTTGCTTTGTTGGCATTTTGAATGAATATTGGAGCTTAATGGCAAACTATTTGGGCAAAGGCGTTCCCACAAATGGGTCTATTTATGTTTGTAACTTACCTGAAGGGACTGATGATAACATGTTGGCTGAATTCTTTGGCACCATTGGATTGATTAAGGTAGGGAGAATTGTTATATTGTGATGAATCTGATGATGCATGTTGTATCTTCCATAGTGCCAGGATTAGGTTTGCAACATTTAGCTCATTTAACCATAGAAATTTTAATCTAATTTATATTTTTCTGGGATGATCTTCATTGCAGAAAGATAAAAGAACTGGTCAACCGAAGATATGGTTATACCATGATAAGGTGACAAACGAACCAAAGGGTGATGCAACAATCACCTATGAAGATCCACATGCTGCAGCAGCTGCTGTCGAATGGTTCAATAATAAAGAGTTTCATGGAAATGTAATTGGTGTATTCATAGCACAGTCCAAGAATAAGGGTGATGCAGTGGATGCAGGTATACGTGCTGCTGCCCCGGCTGCTGTCCCTGGCGATTTTAATGAACCTGTTGGAGATGTGGTGGACCTGAATGGGGCTGGAGGAAGAGGTAGAGGGCGGGGTGATGCTTCTGGAAAAGCATGGCAACAGGATGGTGATTGGATGTGTCCAAATACAAGGTCTGTGATGTGACATTGGTGAGCAGCTCTTTCTTGCTCCTTTTACATGGTTATTGTTTGCTAGTACTCTAGCATTACAAAGTTTCTTACGTTTAGTGTATTAACAGTTGTACCAATGTGAATTTCGCTTTTCGTGGTGTTTGCAATCGATGTGGAACTGCCCGGCCAGCTGGTGCCTCTGGTGGTGCTGGGGGTGGTGGTAGAGGAAGAGGTCGTGGAGCTACTGATGCTGCAGGTCATGCACGAGCTGCAACTGGTCCAACAGCTGGACTATTTGGTCCAAATGACTGGTCTTGTCCCATGTAAGGCTGGATTGCTTGCAATAAGACTTTTTATACCAATTTTCATCTTGATAGTATCGAAATGATTGTTGTATTCTGATAATAATGGCTTGTTTGCTCCTAGAATGCTTAATCTTTATGGAGCATCACAATTGTATGTGGGTGATGCTCCCTTGATGTCTTTTCAATGCCTTTTTGTTATTACTTAACGCCCCCTCCCCCCTCAAAAAAAAAAAAAAAAAAAGGTATGGTGTGTGGCATGCAGTTCAAGTTCTCTGATTCCCTGATGTTGCAGGTGTGCTAATATTAATTGGGCAAAACGTACAAAGTGCAACATTTGCAATACTAACAAACCTGGTATCAGTGAGGGTGGTGTAAGGTATGTTACTGTAAGCTTTGTTTTCTAATGGTCAAAAATAAATTTGATTATTTTTACATACTTTCTCATATTTCAGCTTATGTTTGTAGAATCTCCAGTATTCATAGGGTAACTTGTGCGTATTTAGTACTCCTTAGAGTCTTAATTATCTTGCGTGTTCGATTCAGTTGTGTTACTTTTGTATATAAACTTTGCATGACATTGAATAATTGTAGGCCATAAACTCAAGCTTATTTAATGACACAGCTACATATTATCACGTCTGCCTTTTTTGTGCTGAGTTCGCGTGTTCTTGATTGAGTTCTAAATTTTTTTTGACCAAGAGCTGAAAGTTCTTAATTAATAAAACCTTTTCTACATGGAAAAATTGTTAAAAGATGGATTACAATTTTTTAGCTAGTACCTTATTCAAATTATTATTTCAAATGGTACCTTAACATAGCATTTTGTTTTAAATTCAGCACCCTGACTCTAATATCGGATGAGAAAGTCAAATTTTGGGTGATTGACTCTCTTTCCGCATTATTTTCATGCGTTTTTTTCCTCAACTAGCACGCGTTCTCTCTTTCCTTAAGCTGAAAGGGTCTATTCATCTTTCTTTCTCCTTGATTTTTCCCTTTTTTGTTCCTCTTTCCATTCGCTTCCAGTACTTCCCACATCCATCTCACCGTGCTTAAAAAGCTTGACCCATCACCATCTCTTTATCTCCCAAATTGTTATTGTTCACTTTTCTGGTTCTCTGTCACTTTCTTGCTTAAACAATATGCAATAGTGTTAGGAATATGTGGAAGCAAAGCATTTATTCCCATTAAACAAATGATTTGGACTTACCAAATCATATAATGCTAATTTGTGGACTTTAATGCCACAAGTCCGACAACAGAAGCCAAAATATCCCAAGAACTAACTCCTCCATCATTATCAATAACATATTACAACCAAAAGCTGATTCTCCCTCCATATTTTTTTACTGTTTCATTTGAAATTTTGCACAATTATGTTTTGAAGGGCCCTGATTTTAGCTCCTCAATTCAGCTACCATTTTCGACATGTCTTTTTTACAAAGCAGTTTGGGAGGTCAACATTTCTTTTCATTGGTTGGTCACATCCTTCTCCCAGTCCACCATTCCATTATCAACCTTGTTCCACAACAATTATTAATCCAATTAATTAGAAATAATTTATAAGATTTAGCTAAAACCAAAGATGAAGATGCAGATTTTGATCTTGGGAGACATAGTTTCTTGCCCAATAACCATTCTTATTCCACTACAACTAAAGACCAAAATAATTAACCAAAAACAAAGGTGGAAAAAAAATGAAATCAAACGATTCTTATGTATAGATTAAAGTTTCTGATTTGTATGAAAACTAAAACAAATGTTTCCCATTTCCTTGTTAATGATCACAAAGCCCCAATGATGTGTAAGACAAAGGAAGAGGATGATAAGAACATAATTTGATTGGGGAAGTGGGGGAATTAGATAGAAGAAAGTGGGTGCTAGCGAGATGTGGGTGAAATTTTTTAGTTGCGACACATGCAAAAAAGGCTGGAAATTAGGAGTCAACGAAAATTGGATTTCTCACTTGGAATAAAAGGGGGGGGGGGGTACCTTACAAATGGGATTCCAAATAATGAACATTTGTCAATTATTCTTTGTTTTGTCAATTGTGATCTTTTTAGTATTTTCCATTAGTCCTGTCAGAGGATCCTTAATTAACTGGGAAAAGGATAGGTTTACAAGAGTGTGCCTCCAAAGTCCAAAATTTGGTGGTTTGGTTCATATGCTAAATTTATCTGATTTTATATGGAAGTGAGAGTGGGACAGCTGGGAGTTGTTACTTTCTTCGTCAAAATGTAACTGTGTAGAGCTATAGACTTAAACATTCTTTTGTTTAATAGGACAGCTGGGAGTTAATTTCGTTGTTGTTGTTGCATTAGTATGCAAAGCATAGTTTGGTTTTGTGTTTCGGCCACTGAGAAAGTATCTCCTTTCTGATTCTGTACATTTTTTCACATAAATATCTTTTATTGGTTCAGTAATGCCAGTTTTTTCAGTTCTGGGATTCACTTTTCATTTACAATGCTGCAAATAACAGGCTTATTAAGCATATTTTGAAATTTTTTGAACTTGATTAATGAGCCTTGAGGAGCAAAACTGGATTGTAAAAATGCTCTAGTATTTTTGCGTAGAGGCCACGCTTAGTTAATTCAGTGAAATTACTAACCATATACTTATTGATGATTTTCAGGGGAGGACGTGCTGGTGGCTACAAGGAACTTGACGAGGAAGAGTTAGAAGAGACAAAGCGACGCCGGCGTGAAGCTGCAGAAGTGAGAAAATTTATCTGCTTACAATAGCTTTTTTAAGCACCTGTGGTATTGTTTATTCTGAGTTTATTGTTGCATATTTTAGGATGATGGAGAGCTGTATGATGAGTTTGGTAATCTCAAGAAAAAAATTCCGTGCAAAAGCTCATGAAGCCGATACAGGAAAGGTGCTTCCAGGAGCAGGGCGTGCAGGATGGGAAACTGAGGAACTAGGTATTTTTTTTTTTTTTTTATTATTATTTTTTTTCATCTTTAATTAATTGTTCTGTGAAGCACTTGTTTGTTAATTTCTGGATGTCACATTTTCTGAGTATGGCATCGTCTTCTGCTTGGGGAGAATGCAATGTGTTGTCATATGTTATTCAATCAATCAATTAAAGCCTTAATCCCATAAGTGGGGTCGGCTACATGAACCAACATTGATTATTCCGTGTGGTCATCCACAAAGTCTTCCTCCTCCATCCCTTACGATCCAATGCCTCATATGTTATTCAATGTAACAAATAATTAGTAACTTTGGTTTTAGACTTTTAGGATGTTTAAGACATTGAAGGGGAGGTATCAATCATTTTCCCATCTTTTTAAACTCAATTTTGCTGCTGATTGCTATGGCATGTGAATTTTATTTGTAAGTTTATACACCAGGTCTATATATTTGACTGGTGTGAGTGTCACTGGGTTGCTATAGTGGTTTGGGTTTGATCACTTTTGTTTTGGTTGTGAATTTGTGATACAACGTAGTAGATTGCATTTTACTATTTTACACGTTACACTAATGTTTTTCCTACTTTCTCAAGATGAAAGTACACTAGTACAGCCTGTTACTTATTACAATAAAGATGACCAATTGGTTGTTTGGCTTTAATTAAGATGGGATTGTATTACTTAGTTTTAATTTAATTATTACAATTAAGTTGGGAAGAGGATGGTTGAGAATGATATGAGTGCTTTGGGGATTGAGGAAAATATGGTGTTGGATAGGGTGGAGTGGAGGGAGAAAATTCGTGAGAAGTGTCATGATTTAATATAAATATATATACTGTTTGTTTAGATTATTTTAGTATTTTAATTATTTACTCAACTCGTGTTTTGCATACTTTACTTATTTTCTTTGCTAGTGTTTTCTCAAACCTTTATGTCTTTACTCACATGTTTTTCCCCTCCTTTTAAACCCCTTACCACTCTTTGAAACTCTCGTAAATTTTATTTGTATAGTCTTTCTGTTATTCACTTTACACACTTATTTCCAACTTTTATTCAATTGATGATTATTTTGATATGCTCTTTTTCCATTTCAAAACAGTTCCTTATGACGATTCATGTTAAGCACTAAGGCTTTGTTGTTATTTTTGTTGTAGTAGAAGTTGGGCAAATCTACTAAGTTTATACCCCCTAGTCAGCCTGCTCAATGCTGCTGTCATTCAGGATATGAGGATAGTATTAATTAGATGTCTTCTGAAGTGGTAAACAAATAAAAAAAAAATCAAAAAAACTTAAGATGTTCACTATCCCTTTTTTATCTGTGCTCGATCTTCAAAGCATACAGACAAATTCTTAGGTTTCATCTTAATTGTTGTCTGGCTCTGGTACGTTGGTTTTAATCTCTACCATGATTTATGAGATTGTATCTTCCATTCTCATCCTGGTCTTCCACACATTGGTTCATTGCTTGTTTAGAAATTAACAATTAGGTTATATTTATAAATGATTTTCACAATTCCAATTCCATAAGTACTAAAAAGACAATTAACGTACTTTTTAAATTATGACAAGTTTTTTGAGTTTTGTGTATTGCCTACACCAGTTATTAAAGGCGTAACATTTATTAAAACTATTGAGATTCACTTGTTACACCTTACACCCATTATAGCCACTAAAATATTTTATTTCTTCACAATATAACTGGAAAAGATGTTTGGAAAACAAATAATATTTTATTAGAATCTTAAAATCGATTCAAATCTAAAAATGTTCAAAAAGTGCCACCATTCTGGGTGAGTGATGTTAGCTTGACAGGAGAGCCCACTATTACTAAGACTGCCTTAGTGACAATCCAATTGTTGCAAAGAATTGATTGACTGATAGCCTTAATGACAATCCAACTGTTGCAAAGAGGAAACTTTTTTGTAACTAAATTAAGTGATGTGCCGTCTTGTGTGCTTGCATGTTATATATATATATATATATATATATATATATATATATATATATATATATATATATATATATATATATATATATATATATATATATCACATTGTTGCATATTTTGATTAATTATCGAACAATAATGTGTGTGTTAACTGAAAACCATCCTTCCTCTGACATGTATTGAACATCTATTTCTTGAAAGCTAATGGTTGTGTGAAGTTGAGGCAATGCCCTCATACTAAGGTGATTTTTCTTTAGTCCTTCAAGAGACTACAATTAGCAGCATAGATTAGTTATGGTAGGATTTTTAATAAGGAGAGAAATTTTATGCTATTTAGTAATTTCTAAAACTTTTCAATGACCACTATAAAACCTCTCTTACTCAGATTGTTTGTTTTGTGGGAATCTAAAACTATGTGCATGATTTTCTGCATTTAACAAATTG